ATTAATTTCTTTATTTCTTATTTTATTACTGACTGCTTACTTGTCATTTTTGATTCAATTCAAAGTTTGAAATGAAGCTATCTCGTGCTACTGCACCAAAATTACCCCACTGTAAAATTACAAAAACACTGAGTGAGCAAAAATTTGTGAGATAGCTAGTTATAATGGTAATTAAATAATGTTTACATATGTATAAAAGCCTACATTAAAATCTGTCATATAAATTGGTCTCTTCATTAGAAATTAGCCTACTGATTGCCACCATTGATGGACAACATTTTTTAATAATATTAAAAATATCTGTATGACATTATATTCTGCAGTTCTTCCCTGTTGTACCGAATATCTATACTTTTCAAATTATCATATCGATGTTAGAAATTCAAATATTGTGACAAAATTAATTTTGTAGGGTGCCACAAGTTTGTTAAAATTTCCAAAGGGTGCCGTGACTAAAAAATGGTTGGGAAACACTGGTTTAAAGAATGCAATCTGTATCCAAATGCATAGAAATGTTTTGTTTAACATAGAATTCTTCATTTCTACTGACTTATGTTTATCTCTGTTACAAAAGGTGTTTATTTAAGTCTTCGCTGTAATGAACTGGAGATGCCAGGATGAATTTGTGAGCGAGAACACCTGTTCTCACTTTCTTCCGTTTGTGATTTAAGACACCATGTGCTTTCTGTCTATTTCAGAACGGCAATATTGGGAATATCATTTGGAATGTCTTTCTTAATTCTGTCTGTGATTCTGCTCATTTGCTTCATTGGGCATTTCTTGGTAAGTACCAATGGAATCTAGTGATTATTTGCAAAATAATTTTAACACTGTTTTAGCAAAACCCAATCATTCGTTTAACACAATGTACATTACATTACATTGCTGTTTGTTCTTTTTGGAAGAAAAAAGATATAATATGTGCACATCCAGAAACTTTAGGCAGGTGCTCAATCAAATGAAGCACTTCACTATAAGTAAACAAGAATTGGCACACTGCACCTGCTGTTCCCAAAGATCAATTTATTAAAATAAACACAGCGTTTTGACCCTAAGGGCTTCGTCAGACAAACTTGTTTACTTTAGATAACTAGATTCTTGTGTACTTATAGTGAAATATTTTTGGAAGAAACACATATATCTGCTATTGTTTGGGGCATTTGGTACACTTGTGAAAAAGAAGTACACTTCAGTATACCTATTATAACAAATAAATTGAATTGCAAGCTGAATGTAATGGTTTTGAACACTTAATTGCATGTTGTTTACAATTAAATTAAACTGTATTATAGTTCAATTTTATATTAAATGCAATTAGTTGAACTTAAGAGAGCTTTCTGACCCATCTGACTTCTACTGTCTTATGTCATTTATACTTGTATGTCATGTATTTGAATATGTTTGTAATCAAACATTGTAATGATAAAGTTGCAATTTAGCATAAATTTAAAATATTAACATTAAATGTAATTTAAAAAACACAAGAGGTAAAATTGTAATCAATACTTCACATGTGCCTCTGTTAGTCAAAATAAGTGTATATCTTTAAAGCATGACAAAATATTATTAAAAACAATGATTTAAAATGTACTTTAAATTAAACTTTTAATTTGTCATTATTACAAGTGACATACTTATGTGTGTCAAGAAACAGTATATTTTAAAAAAAATGTAAGATTTTTTGAAGATTTTAAGTATACAGTGACCAGGAGGGGACATATTTGGTTCACTTTATTTTGTCATGGACACGACATTGTGACTAGTAGGAACATGATACTATGTCTTAGCCACAAGATATTAATTTGTGGGAGTGTGAGATTCATTCCTCAACAAAACTGCTACATGTTTATAATTGTACTTACTAATATAGCCTAATATTTAAGATCCAAAATAAAAAAAATGATAAAAAATAAAAAAAAAGTGACGTGACGTGACATGTGGCCAAGAATGGTAACCCATACTCGGAATTAGTGCTCTGCATTTATCCCATCCAAAGTGCACACACACAGCAGTGAACACACACACACACCGTGAACACACACCCGGAGCAGTGGGCAGCCATTTTTTGCTGCGGCGCCCGGGGAGCAGTTGGAGGTTCGGTGCCTTGCTCAAGGGCACCTCAGTCATGGTATTGAAGGTGGAAGAGAGCGCTGTACATTCACTCCCCCCACCTACAATCCCTGCCGGTACGAGACTCGAACCCGCAACCTTTGGGTTACGAGTCCGACTCTCTAACCATTAGGCCTTCCCTAAGTCGTGGCCTAAATAATTAACAAATTATTTGAACTTTATTTGAATGCTGTCATGGGCACAAAGTAGCCTATCTATAGGCTTACATTTATAACGAAAACAGACACTCAATTATCATCACATATAGACTGTAAGCCTACAGAAATACAGTCTTTACTTTACAAGCATGATTGTTGGGCATTTACAGTATTTACAAAACATATGGTAGCAACTTTAAGTAACCTAATAATGCCGTACGTGAATTAGATAAAGAGAAATGTGAAATGAAGGTTACATAACAATTAATATAATAATAATAAAAATAATAATAATTATTATTATTATTGATTTAGAAAAAGTAGGGTGAGATGGATGAAAATGTCTTCTTGTAGGCCTATATTATGTACATATTCTTTTGACATTTATTGTCAATAAACTTCATTTGAATTTCATTTGAATCCTGTCTATATATTGCGTGGCCATGACATAAGCCATTGCTATTACCTCGACAAAATGATCTCGTGGCCACTAGTTAAATGTATATATGTCATAGTCTCGACATGCTATTATGTTTGTTCCCACAATTTAATATCTTGTGGCCACAACGTATTTTCATGACAAATAAACCGTGAACCGAACATGTAGATTCAGCACAATTAAATACACTTCTTGTTCACAAAGTGAAGAGCAGTGGTTCTCAATTAGTTTCGCCCCTATTTCACTTTGGACATAAACTTTATTTTATTTTGCCTTGAATTAATTTGGACTTACTGCCTTTAGCGAAGAGGAAAAGATACAGGAAGCATTTTCTCCTCCCTTTTAAAACGTGATAAATACAGTTATTTTATGATCCTGACTTCTCATGCTTGTATGGTTAATTGATTTAACACACAGTATCCAAGAAAACAAATCGCCCACCCATTTTTAAGTCATAACCCAAATACAAATACACAAATTAATGTCATTGCTAAATTCCTCATCTGTTTGGTAGTGCAAGGACTAAATGAAAGAATCTAGACACAATGCTTTATATTTTATACATAATCACTGACACTCTTACATTAAAATTGAATTGATCTTTTTTTTTCTCAGTATAAAAAAGTAACAGATTATAACAGAGTTTAGAGGCTGATGTTGTACAGGTTGGAGCTGATGTCAATTTCACTGTGTACATTTTTGAAGGTCTTATGCTTGTTTAATTCTGTGATAGTTATTCTGACTCAGCTCTTAGGTAGCTTTATTTATTATTTTACAAAAGCATCAACCGCAGTAAGATTTCCCAAATGTACAAGAAAATAAAACTGGTGCGTGAAATGAAGTGAATCATGTGTTTATTCTCCACCATGACCTTGTGATAACAGTCTGATGAGGATGTGTTATACAGATTTCCCAAGGCATATCGCAATAATACAATTCATCCAACCAACCAACCAACCACATCTCTCTCTCTCTCTCTCTCTCTATATATATATATATATATATGTGTGTGTGTGTGTGTGTTTCATTGTGTATTTAAATGATTTTATAATAACAAATTATACTGAAGACAAATTAGCTCAGAGAAATTCTTTCTGATCATCTTTTTAATTTTATGAATAAAAGATTTGACTGATTTTATATGCATTTTTATGTATGTATGTATGTATTTATTTTAGTGCTGTCAAACGATTAATTGCGATTAGGCCTAATCGCATCCAAAATAAAAGTTTTTGTTTACGTAATATATGTGTGTGTACTGTGTATATTTTTATGTATATATAAATACACATACATGCACGTATATATTTAAGAGAAATGTGTTATGTTTATATACTATATATATTTATATATAATATAAATTATATGAATATAAATATATACATGTAAATACAGGTAAATATATTTTTTAAATATATACTGTATATGTGTGTATTTATATATACACAGTGGTGGAAATGGCCAAAATTCACTCGGGGGACTCTGGAGAGGATGTATTTCAGAAGTATTTAATTATAAAACCCTTATATAATCCATAGTAACATTACACTTATTTCATACTGCAATTCTGCACCTGCAATTCTGGCCAAATTAAAGATACGTTGTGTGTGAATTTGCACGTTATAATGTAAGCTTCATTAATGACCCCCTGTTTTTATAAAAAAAAACAAAAAAAAAACTGATTTGATTAGTGAAATAAAAAATGAGAATGATTATTGTCTCTAACTGGCCTGTTTAGCAAAGCCCTCAAAAAACTTCTTATTTAGTGGTACAGTATTGCATGATTTGTAGATTATATTTAATAGTTTACACTTTGCCAGAACGTTTGCGATTAGTTTTTAAAAGGTAACATGACATTCTTAAGGACTCGCCTACGCTTACATTTCTTTTCAGGAGCACTTGTGCTCCTACTTAAAAAAACAACAACAATTAGGAACACCTGATCAATGACAGAAATTAATCTTCCCATTATAAGGTGATATTTGACTCCTTATTTATTTATTTTTTTTATCTTTGTAATGCCATTTTTCTAACTTTATTAAATGTGTCATCTTTTGTGAAATAAAAAAATAGATTTACAAATGTTTATAAAATTTTTTAATAAAACGATAAATTCAACTAAAATGATAAGATACAATCACGAAGAATAAGTTACCAGTCAAATTAAACATCAACAATTCATCTTTGCATGGCACAAAGGAGCACAAATGTGGAATATTTACAGACCTTTTGACAACACTCAGAGGTGGCATTAATGCATAATGTCATAATCTCATAATGCCAATGTTATGAGATTAATGTTTTAAATATAAAGTTTTGAATACAGAAATGTTAAAGATTTAAATGACTCAATTTATACTTTAAAAATGAAACTGAAACCGCCAGTAGGTGGCAGCAAGTCAAAGTCTTGGTTACTGATTCATTTATTCAAATGATTTGTTCAAACGGCTGATTCATTTAGGAACGAAGCAAGTGACTCTCTTTATGAATGGGTGATTGAATCATTGACTCACTAGATTTGTTCAAAAACGCAGATTCATTCATTAACGAAACATCGCTGTGTTTGAATGGAGATGTGCAGCGGCTGAGCCGTGAATTTGGTTGGAACTATTTTTGTTGACAATAGAGCACAATCAGACAACAGTGTTCCTAAAATGTAAGTCAATTTAATATTAACTTTTTGTATAAAATCAAAAATGTATAAAACTGTTGTATAAAATCAATATCACATTTGCTAACTCCCTTTATCATTAAAAATCTGTCACCCATCTTAGTTCATCGCGATCTCACAAACTTGCATTTTAATTAATGAAGCTCTCAACACTGCACACTGAATTTATTATTTACATCGTCTCTACACTTTGTTTGTTATAATGAATGACAAACTGCAGTCTGCTTTCACGATCTGTTCTGTGAGGAGCAGGACACGCACCGATAGAGAAGCATTTATATTGGCTGCAGTCTGCAGGCATTATGGCAAAAGACGACATTGCGCAGCTAACCATATTCCGCTACGTTTTTAGTCTACATTACGCTACATTTTATATACAGAACTGGGATCGCTTTAGTAGACTTTTGAATGGATAAATTATAGAAATCACTTTAATTTCCAATAGAACCTAACCAGCTGGAAGTGAAACGCTGTGCCTCCTCGAAATTCACTCCCCGGACTCCGTCCCCCCGCGTCCCCCCCCCCAATTTCCAGCCCTGTATATACATAGTAAATATACACAGTACACACACATATATTATGTAAACAAAAACTTTTATTTTGGATGCGATTAATCATGATTAATCGTTTGACAGCAACTAATTTATTTATTTATTTTTTATTCGTGTTGACCAACAATAGCATTGCGATAAGACAGCCTCTGCATCTTGGCTCTGGATCCTTAGATCCTCCGGAATCATTGCCAACAAGCCCTGGCCACGCATCACCCTCACCATGGCAACCACAGCCCTCATCCTGATCATGGCTGTCTTCAATATGGTATGTCAACCACAATGATCCAGGAAATTTCACATGAATACTTTTGTGCTTATGGTTTTCCAAATAAGACACTGAGATGCTCCCTAATTGGATCACACACATTACATTAAGGGCCTTGACCGTAGTAGTCTGACATGCGTTATTGCAGAGTTTCTTGGCAGAGATTAGTGTCCATCTGTGCCCTGGCTGCAGAGGGCTGTTTGGCCTCCAGATTTGGCCATTCCACTTGCGGCATATGTCACTATTTGTAAACAAACATGAAACAAATTTGTCGATTTCAATCTTGTATTGTACATGTATTTATCATTTAAATAACACAGAACATGATGCTGTGATTTCACTTACTTGATGTAACTGTCACTGTGCGGTAAGCGGGGTGGCCGTTACACCTCGGGTGTGCATTATTTTTCTAATAATTCAACAGTCCGGAGTCAATTATTCCGCTTATACTACGGTTACCACACCTCAAGACATCGATTAGATGATATATTTCAAGGCATTTGTCCGGTTTTTGTACTTAAAACGCTATTGTGAGTAGGATTAATTTCTTCCGCATCTCATCCAACGCCTCCATTGCTAATTCCAAAACGTCATTTTAGACCTAGTAACGGAGGATTGAGCCGTTGATAGCAGACTAATGCAGCTAATAACTAAGTTATGAGAGAGAGAGAGAGAGAAAGAGAGAGAGAAAGCGCGCGTGTGTGAATTACCTCTGAGTCTGTGCGTCTCTCAAAAGTGTTCGGCAGCAGCGTCCCTACTAATAGTGAAACTTTAAGTTAATTTCTCGTACAGCGCCCTTACCTCGCTTGTGAGAAATGTCATGTAACGTTAGCCTTTGAGTAGCTAAACTATTTTACTGATAAAATCGTCAGAGTAGCGCTAACAACGTTAGCGCGTAGCCTATGTCTCCGTGAGTGCGTCTGTAAGGAGAGTACGTGCTTTACGTACATAATAAATCGTAATTTTGTGGCAAAACATGAAAATGTTCTGTCGTTTTTATCCTATTGCTTAAGTTAATATATTTATGTGTTTGGGCAGTGTCGTTGTGGGTTTTGGTTATTTGCTGTTGTAATACACAGTGTTCGAACTATACCGTGGACTTTGGGGGAGCCCACTTGTTTTTTTTTTTAAAAAGGGGGGGGGGGGTTCGTGCGCTTGCGCATGCCTCAAAAGAGGGCTTACAATGACTTACAAAGATACATAACAGCTACAAGTGTTAACATGTGAAATAACATTCATTATGAACTCAGCAAAAACAGAAACGTCCTTTCACTTTCAACTGCTTTTATTTCTAGCAAATTTCTTGAGGTGTAAATTATGTAAATTCTAATTTTTACAAAATTATATTTAAAATACAGTATCCTGAAAATGGGACGTTTCTTTTTCTGCTGAAATTATAATAGCTGGTAATTTACTACAAGGCATTCATTTGTGATTTTATGCAACGAGGAAGTTCACATTTTAATGTAAAAAAAAATTTTTGAAAATGAATTTCAGACAGAGGTTTCTTGAGCTTATACTCAATGCATTATACAGTATAGCATCAATGTAACTCATTGAAAACTATTCAGTGTGAAGGTCATTTTGCACATCTGATTTGGTTATGAACATGGATGATGTTGTTATTAGATTATGATTTCATGACTAGTGCAGCTTAACCCAGTTTTTCAAATAGGGATTTAATTACCTAATTACACAATGCTGAAATATTTATAATATGCCACATTATCTTATATCCTTTTTCTCCTTTAATTTTGTTTCATACACTTTGGAAAGATGTTTTTACTGGTTATAATGTACATACAGGAGTCAAAAGGCAGTTCAGCCTGAAGAACAGTCCTTAAACACATGAATTCAAAGTATCACATAGTGTTTACTGTTTAACAAGTTGCTTAGCTTTTTAGTCGATAGAGAATAGCTGACTGATTTTGTTTTTGATCCATGTCTTATCACCATTGATTCAAATATAGTTTATTTAGTAAGAACATAAGTGGGTTTTTTACAGTCACAACACAATATTTATGACTTCTGTTTTCCTGCCGTTAGTATTTTATCTACAGTTGCATTCTGGGCCTGATTTCCTGCTCAGTGTTTCTGAGGATCAACTATGAATTGAAGTTGCTCATCATGCTAACAGCCGTGGTGCTCTACAGCATCATCATACTTCAAACACACGCATCTCTGCTGGACGAATACAGTAAATTCCTCTACAAAACAGAGATCCCGGATAGGTGAGAACTTGTTATATATACTATATGGTCAGAATTATGTAGGGACCAATACACTAATATGTGGTTGGGCATTGACATTAATAGAAAGTCGGTCCTTCCTGTACTTCTAAATATAACAACCTACATTCCTCTGGGAAGGCAACTGGAACATGGCTTCATAGATTTTCAGACAAAAGTATTTTGCAGTCAGCATTTGAATGCTCAGTGGGTTTCAGGTCTACGCTTTTATACTTTTTTTTTTTTTAAGTCAGTCATGTCCACACCAGACTTGGTAAACCATTTGGATCTTACTTTGTGCACACAGGTCATTGTGTCACATATGTCATTGTATGTTGTAGCATTAAGATTTGTTTTCTCTGGATTTAAGGGCCCAATTAAGCAGAAGGGAGTGTCCACATACTTTTGGCTAAGTATTGTAGTATGTATGTTGCAGATAATGATTGTTTCAGCTTTAACATTAAATATCTATATTTATCAGTAAGCTTTTGGTGTACAGCAGCTAGTCAAATCTGCCCTGATATGGTAATCACAGGTAACCATGTGTATACATTAAACCATCAAATTTATAAATGATGACAGGATTTTTAGTGTCAAGCAATTCACGCAATAATCCAAAAAACTCTTGCTATATTTGGCTCATATAACCAAAACTAGCACAACAAAAGGAAATTTGGATTCGCTTCATGCACAACAGTTTCCTGAGGATTACAGATTTTCTTCTAGAAATCAGAGCTGGATGTTGAAAATAAATCACTGAACCAGCACAGACACTTCCTGCTAATTGACAGCTGGGGTGGACATGGTCTGCTAGCCATCCTGGGCTACAGATGACATGATTTGTTACAAAAAAACGGTGATGCTGACAAGTCTTATATCTCTCTCTCTGTCTCTCATCAAAACAAGGCCAGGAGTTCTGAAAGACTTGAAAACTATGGGCTCTATATCTCTCTTTATATTCTTCGTCACTCTGCTTGTTCTAGCTAGACAGGTGAGTGTTCTTTTTTAAAGCGGAGTTACATTTGCTCATTTATAGATTAAAACAGCTGATGGTTATCATGTTATTTGCATATTCTATGTGTGCATGTTCACAGGAAGAAATGCTACTACTGCCGTGAAAGCAGAAAGGACTACTGTAATAAAATAGTTATAGATATCCATTAAATACATTTTACAAAGAAACTTTATTAATTGGAAATATAAAAGCTTTCATTTTATTTGAAATGAAAATATATTTATATAATTTTAAATTGATATATATATGTGTGTGTGTGTATGTATACAGTATATATATGAAGAGTTCAGATGCAAAAGCCTCTAAGTGCCATCTGAAATTTTCTTCTAAAATAAGCATTTTTATCAGGCTCCTATATTCATGTTTGTCACATTCGCTACTGTGTTGGAGCGCGGAGCGAGGAACGAGGAGACGTCGAGTACATCAACAAGGAGATTAATGAAATCAAGGAAACCAGGAAAACACATGTAGCTGAGGAGGTTGACATTCACAATACCGGACGACCAAACTTAGAACAGGGCTCACTATAAATACACAGGACTAGAGGATAAGATGACGAGACACACCTGGAACTAATGAAACAATAAACATGATTAGAACAGGAACAGGAAGAACTAAATAAGGGCATAAGGAAACACTTGGGGAGCAAAACACACAAAACACTGACATTAGTCTGACATTACTCCCCCCTCCCGGAAGGCACGTCCTCGCGCCACACAACATCCAATGGGGAGGGGTGGTGGGCGGTACCCGTTCGGGGCGCCATGGTGGATCAGGCAGTTCGGGGAGCCATGGCGGAGCAGACAGTTCAGGAGGCCATGGCGGAACGGGGAGCCTGGCCTCGGCACTCGGACCGACCTCCAGGGATGGACCCCTACTACCTCCCCAAAACAAATCCTTGGGGAGAATATAGTTTTTAGAGACCCTCCCTAGGCCTAACTCGGGAACTGTGGCCCTCTTTGGGCTGGACATGGGGACTGGAGCCCTCCTTGGGCTAAACTCGGGCACTGGGGCCCTCTCTGGGCTAAACTCGGGGACTGGAGCCCTCTCTGGGCTAAACTCGGGGACTGGAGCCCTCACTGGGCTAAACTTGGGGACTGGAGCCGACACTGGAGCGAGCTCTGGGGCTGGGATGAGGGCGGAGAACAGTCCCTTTCTCCTCATCCTCCTCCTTTGGCTGAGGGTAAATGGCGCAGCCGGCGGGCTTGAGTGAGGAACGGCTGGCGAGCTTGACTGATGAACGGCCGGTCGACTTGACTGAGGATGGATGGGACTACTGTGTGATGCCTCTGGGCTAGTGGAGAGGAGACAGGATCTGCTGACGAACCGAGCCAGGTTGATGTAATCGGGCAGGGTCCACCTGGACCCTGCCAGTGGCATCTGCTGAGAGATCCCCTCATCCAAACCACCCCAGAAACAGTCCACCAGAGTCCACCGGTCGAGGGAAATCCGCTCTGAGCAGGCGAGGAACTCCTGGATGTACTCTTCCAGGGGACAGCCGTCTTGATACACCGAACACAATCGTTCAAGGCGATCCATAGAAAAAAAACAAAAGAAAACACTTTCTAAACCGGGAAAAAAAAACACGGAGAGTAGGGGAGCTGCTTACTGTTTAGGTCCGGTATTCTGTCACGTTCGCTACTGTGTTGAAATGCGGACCGAGGAGATGTGGAGTACATCAACAAAGAGATTTTAATGAAATCAAGGAAACCAGGAAAGCACACATAGCTGAGGAGGTTGACATTCACAATACCGGACGACCAAACTTAGAACAGGGCTCACTATAAATACACAGGACTAGAAGTTGGGATGACGAGACACACCTGGAACTAATGAAACAATAAACATAATTAGAACAGGAACAGGAAGAACCAAATAAGGGCTTAAGGAAACACTTGGGGAGCAAAACACACAAAACATGGAACAGAGTCTGACAATGTTCAGCTATTTCTCTTTAATTGCATAGAAAAGGACCTATATATTGCCATTAGAGTAAAATTACTGAACCTAAACATAGGAGCCTGATAAAAATGCTCATTTTCGATGAAAATTTCAGATGGCACTTAGAGCCTTTTGCATCTGAACTCTAGTATGGAAATATATAGAAGTATGGAACTGCAAAAAAGCATCATTGTGTATTTGTATGTTGTGTGATGAGAATAGGACTTTCTTTTATCATATGGATTTGCTCTGTCGTGTTTGTAACTGAAATAGCGCTGTGACCTCCAGTTTCTTTACCTCTGTGTCCTCTTGTAACAGAATGAATATTACTGTAGGTTGGATTTCCTGTGGAAGAACAAGTTCAAGAAAGAATGTGAGGAGATAGAAACCATGGAGAACCTTAATCGTGTTCTGTTGGAAAACGTTCTTCCAGCCCATGTAGCAGAGCACTTTCTGGCCAGGAACTGGAAGAACGAGGTAAGAATGGAGATGGAAAGAACAACTAAAGATCTAGCCTGTACTGCAATTTATATACTGTTTGTCTTAGGAGGTATGCATCCCAAATTCACATGGTGAAAATAGAATGAGCTTCCCTACTTCAAAGCTACCACAATACTGTGTTATATATTCAGAAAAAAGAGACTCTTGCACTACAAAATTGTAATATGTCTTAATATGTCTCAACAATACTGGCTTGCTTCATACCTAAAAGTATATACACTGAACAAAATTATAAACGCAACATTTTTTTTTTTGCCCCCATTTTTCATGAGCTGAACTCAAAGATCTAAGACTTTTTCTATGTACACAAAAGGCCTATTTCTCTCAAATATTGTTCACAAATCTGTCTAAATTTGTGTTAGTGAGCACTTCTCCTTTGCCGAGATAATCCATCCACCATCCACATATCACACAGCACAATGCCACAGATGTCGCAAGTTTTGAGGGAGCGTGCAATTGGCATGCTGACTGCAGGAGCACAGAAACATTTTTTTTCCTTGAAGGACTATAGGTAATGAGATTAAAAGCACATCTAACAATAACTTGAATTTAGATGCTTGAAAGTGCTTGACAACTGACAGCTGTTTTCTTCTTCTTCTTGTTTGAATTATAGCTTTGAAGAAAAATCTTTTGAGATTATAACTTTTAAGCAATGCTGTCTGTTTGAAAGTCAGTCCTTGGATATTTATGGCTGAGCTGCCTTTTCCTCTGTGAATGACAGGATTTGTATCACCAATCATATGACCTGGTGTGTGTGATGTTTGCTTCTATCCCGGACTTCAAAGAGTTCTACACAGAATCAGATGTAAACAAGGAAGGTCTTGAGTGCCTCAGACTACTCAACGAAATCATTGCAGACTTTGATGAGGTAACGTATTGCTTCTTCAGGTACTTTTAGCAAAACAAAAAGTAGTTTCCTTTTTTACTCTTTAACTTTTATCCCATTGAAATGTACTTTGAACTTACTGTAGTGTGCAAATTCTGCTTGCTTGCTATGGAATTGCATTCGCCTGTGAAATTAATCTTATTATGTCAAAAATAAATGTTATTACCATGATGCAGTCATTTTTCACAAAGCAGTTTTGATGGTTTGTTTGATGTTAACTCTGCTATGGTTATGTTGTCTTTCCTGTGTAGTTGCTCTCTAAGCCTAAGTTTAGTGGAGTGGAGAAGATAAAGACCATTGGAAGCACATATATGGCAGCCACTGGACTTAATGCCACACCAGGACCAGAATATACACAGGTATCAGGAATGTATGCTATCAGTCGTCTGTGAAATTATGCAAATCGTTCATGGGAATCAGATGCAGTTTTCATCCTGATTATTTATTATTATTACTTGATTAATTGAATCATTTTCTTTTAATTCTTGTAACATTTTGATGGTCCAACTCTACCCTTTGAATAAAGAGATTGTTGTGTGTGTGTGTGTGTGTGTGTGTGTTTATAGGAGCATGACAGGCAGTACATGCACATTGGTACCATGGTGGAGTTTGCCTTTGCACTGGTGGGGAAGCTGGATGTCATCAATAAACATTCCTTCAATGATTTCAAACTTAGAGTGGGTGAGTAAAAAAATAATAAAGTGTGTAACACTTTATTTTAAGGTGTCTTTGTTACACGTTACATGTACTTACTATTAAGTAACCCTAAACCAAACACTAATCCTAATCCTAATCCTAAACCTAGCCATATAGTAAGTACATGTTGTTAAATTAATTAATATTACTCAGTACTTAAATGTATATAATTACACTGTAACAAAGACACCTTAAAATAAAGTGTAACCTAAAGTGTCTTTTTTTGTAAGTGTCTTTAAAGTGACTCTTTATGGAAGTAATATACCATGCATTATAGTCAAATAATACTGTATCTTCATTTCAATTGGACGACAATACATTTAAACAAATATTTTCAGTATCATTACAGTTTTTCTCAATCGATTTGACACTTTTCTCCAATGCAGTGTACTTGTTCTCAAAACAATTAGCACAGCCATCCAAACACAAAATTATCTTAACCAAACAGTTCAACTTTACTGCAAAATGAATCACTGCATTTCTTTCTCGTAATGCATTTATTAAAAGTAAATACCAACATCAAATCTATAGGTGTGTTCTCTATTGATTTTAAAACACATTCAGCTGTAGATGCACAAATATGCTAATGAAAATACATGTTTATTGTAATTCTTCAACAGGGAGTTTTGTTTTTATATATAGTGTGTATATCTAAACAAAATACAAAATTGTTATCCATCATCTGCTGTCACCCATGCGAAAAAACGAATTGCCCCTTTAAACTTAAAATCGGTTCATTCCACCTTTAGCAGCAAGAACTGCAAACAAACTTTTCTGAAAACTACAGATCAGTCTTTTACAACACAGTGGTGGATATATATATGACTTTTATAGTTGGTGAAAATACTAGTGTTCTAATAATTTTGGCCACCACTGTATATACACACGTGTGTGTGTGTGTGTTTGCTGTATACATGAATTATCCTGAATTATTGTTCTTGCCGTTCATTTGCATCTGGAAGAGAATTTCATTGCATTTTATCTAGACTACATATTTGCTGCACTTGCATCATAGGAGAAAAAAATGTAAGAAGTTTGAATCCATGCTTGACAAGCTCCTGTCTCAACATCCTTTGTGGCTGGTGCTGTTGTTATGGACCACCATGTCTACAATGCTCCTGTTCCATTCAAAATAATCTCGATTGTCCGCCTGAATGATCTCAAACTTAAATTCTGAAAAATGTTTGGACATTTACAGTCAATAACAGAAGTTGTCCCAGAAGGACTAAAAATCTGTACTATCATAGTAAAACTCCTCTTTAGTCATCTCTTCTCCCTTTCCTTCTCCTCTCCTCTTTTCTCACATCCTCCTCTCTGCTCATCTCTTTCTACCTGTTACACGTTTCATCTTCTCTCTCATTACACCCCTTTCTCTACCCACTCCACCACCTTATAGCCTCACACCAATTTCTATTACCCCCCACCCCCATTTATTATTATTTTTATTATTTGCATATTAGTTCTTGCTCTTTGTATACTTTCCCTTTTATTACTACTCTAAAGCAATTGTGATAAATGTGTAAACGATTAGGAAAACTGCATTTCTTGTGTTGAGTGTATGATTAACTGAATAGTTATCAGTTTAGGGCCAATCGAAAATATGCCATGTTCATTTGATAGAATGACAAGTTACAGAGTTTTGTTTGTTGTGTTTGGACAAATGGTACATAAATGTTTGATTTGTGTAAAACCTTTTTTTTTTTTTCAGATATTTTGAAGTATTGGTTGGTTGTATTAACTATTGTGAAAACATTTGAGAGTTTTGTGCATATTGTTTTGAGAAAATGACTTGCATGATTTGTAATTTGTATGAAATGAATGAAAACATACAATCTGTACAATTATAAAGTGTTCAGGTCACTGTTAACTGTTTTGAGAACAGTGACCTGAGTTTGGAGAAATGTGTCAAATCGATTGAGAAAAACTGTAAGATATATACAAATGAATGTTATTTACTGCCATCTGATTATATGCATGTGTGTGCATGTGTGTGTGTGTGTGTGTGTGTGTATACAGTAGTCAACATTTGAAGTGGATCAAAAAAGTTCATCAAAGTTGTCCTAAGACAAGAACGCATTTTGGTTT